CGGTGCAGTTCTTACGCCCTCTTCGCCTAAACCCAGCCAGCACCTTGCCAGCTACCCTCCTCGCCCACCATGGCGAAGAAGTCGGTCAACCAGGAGCCGGCCCCCTCAACCACCGCCGTCAGTGCTGAAGGATTCGAGTTCGTCGAGACCCCAGCTGCCTCGTGCGTGAGCCCGAATGCTGAGCCCTGCGGCGTCCGGACGACTGAGGTACGTCGTTTGTTTACTGCTCTGACCAGCTTTTGTGGTTTTCTGTTGGGCATCCCCCCATATACGTGGGCTCAAGAAACTCTCAACCAAGATTATTTTTTTTTACAAGATCGTCAATGCTGATACAGACAATTTACTATAGTATCCTGCGATCAAAAATGCTCCTCTGCCAGCTGACGCTGCTGGTTCGGACTCATTCTCCAATACTCTTCTCATCTCCCTGCTGGTGCTGGTACCTGCATACCTTGCCCGCCAGGTCTCCGGTGGACTATGGACAACCCTGTTCCTTGCTATTTTCACCACCATCCCGATCCTGATGGCCTACTGGACCGTTGCGTCAACCATCTCCCCTCGAAAGAACGAAAAGGCCAAATATCCCGGTCGTCCTGTCGAGCATTACCTTAACTTCCTGAGCGAGCATGACCGTGCAAAGTACCACGGCAAGTCCAAGATTCCCATGGAGACCTTCCATGAGATGTACTTTGACGGACAGGTGGACTTCAAGGGTGATGCGCTGGAGATGCTTGAGTACAGACATGACTGGGCCCAGTTCAAGTTCACCTGGAGCTTGTACAAATATTTTTTGACTGGAATGATGCCTGAGGTTATCATGCATACCCGAAGCCAGGGTGAGTGGGGATCATCCATCTTTCTTTTACTTATCCTTACCTTTACAGGCTCAATGCTAACAGTACCTAGATGAGGAGCAAGTTCGTGGACACTATGACCGTGGTGATGATTTCTACGGCTGGTTCTTGGGTCCACGCATGATCTACACCTCTGGCATAATCAGCAACATCAACGAGGAAGAGACCCTCGAGCAGCTGCAGGACAACAAGCTCGCTGTCGTCTGTGAGAAGATCGGCCTTAAATCCGGAGACACCATGCTTGACCTTGGCTGCGGCTGGGGCACTCTCGCTAAGTACGCTTCCATGCACTACGGCGCCCATGTCACTGGTATTACTCTTGGCCGCAACCAGACTGCTTGGGGCAACAATGGCCTTCGCAAGGCTGGTATCGAAGAGTCTCAATCCCGCATTCTGTGCATGGACTACCGTGACGCTCCCAGCGTGCCCGGCGGATACAAGAAGATCACCTGTCTTGAGATGGCCGAGCATGTCGGTGTCCGCCACTTCTCTACTTTCCTGCGCCAGGTGTACGACATGCTTGACGACGACGGTGTTTTCTTCCTCCAGATTGCTGGCCTACGTAAGTCATGGCAATACGAGGATCTAATTTGGGGTCTGTTCATGAACAAGTACATTTTCCCCGGTGCTGACGCAAGCACACCACTTGGCTTCGTCACCGAGCGCCTTGAGGGAGCTGGTTTCGAAATCAAGGGCATTGACACCGTTGGCGTGCACTACTCTGCCACCCTCTGGAGATGGTACAGGAACTGGATAGCCAACAGGGAGAAGGTCGAGGCCAAGTACGGCAAGCGATGGTTCCGCGTAAGTTCCCCCTAAACTCTAACGTATACATAGGCGTATAACTAACGTTTGACAGATCTGGGAATACTTCCTTGCCTACTCTACCATCACTTCCCGTCAAGGAGGTGCTACCTGCTGGCAAATCACCATGGTCAAGAACATCAACTCCACTCACCGCATTGAGGGTGTTCCGACCCAGTTCGGCCTTGCTGGCGCTCGCGAGGCCAGCATCCAGAATGTTGGTGGTGGAAAGCTGCTGACCGCCGCCGTCGAGAAGGAGTAAGCAAAGAATGCTGCACTTACGGAGTACATACATTTCAATATCACGTTGAGCCGTCTTTTGACGTGGATAATGAGGTATGGATCATGGAGGTGCAAACAAAATATAACTTACGCAAACGACGGAGGTGAGTAAAAAAAGCAAAAAAAAAGGTGCTATGGGCAAGCCTGGGGACAGCAAAATAGGGGGAGGTAGCTTCACGCGGGTTTCCTTGTTTGTCTTTGGTCTGGCCACTTAGATAAATAAACAACTAGTTACGTATGTAGTCGACGGTTTAATCATAATGAGACTCTGTTCCTTTCTGCCTTTCTATGCTTGCGTAGCTGTAGTTGACTTGACACTATATCAGTTACTTGACAAAAAAAAATACAAAATGACATAAAACCTGCCCATCGGCGGCTTCGAACCGCTGTCTCCTCGCATGCCCGTCAACGCTCAACCTCCCAAAACGTCGTCGCAATGGCCAAAAAAAAACTGGTAGCTTCTCTTTGATTGAGCGTGTCATCCTTAGTGCAGGGGCCATGCTAATCTTCTCTGTATCGTTACTATGACCAAATGCCCGAAGGCATAGGAGAGGAAGACGACTTGCTATTTAAGGTAGTGTTTTGTGACTAATAGAGTATTGTGATTGGTTGGCTGTTTCTGCTTAGGTAACATTTGCCTACGTCAGGCGGAAAAGGATTATCTTTGTTGCGGCGCCCTGTCGGAATGGGAATAAGGATAATCCGATATATTTGATGACTAAGCTGAAGATAGCCGAAGCCGAGGTAAAGCGCCGAAAAGGGCAAGAACGACCTCATTGCTTCAGTCTTTAAGTCGACGTCATGACATATATTTTAACATTTTAACAACATCAAACTACAGACAATGAGATGAAGAAACAGGCCGCAGTGGTTAGTGGTGAAGATACCGACATTGATGCAGTGTTGAGACTGCAGATACAGGCCGATACGGCGGCGTTACGCTAGTTAAGCCCGAGGCCCTCTCCACTGCGGAGAGCGGGTTGTAAGTTATATCTCTGGAGATCCCCAGCTTTTTGTCCTCCGTCCCTCTCCCCTCGCTACGGACAAGACAAGATACCAGCAGCACCGCTAGCAGCACCCTCTACCGCCATGCCTTATCCCTCCCCCTATCCTCCAATTGACATCCCGGTCGTCGATCTGTGGAAGTTCCTCTTTGAAAACGAGAAGCGCGAGTTCCCGGATGACAAAGGTAAGCAACCCGGCTTTACCGCTCTGGAGAGCTCTCCCCCAGCCTAACAGCCAGCAGTTATCTACCAGGATGCAGACACCCTGCGGTCATACACCTATGCCGAAATAAAGTCCACAGCCATCACGTTCGGAACAGGTCTCAGGGCTTCGTTTGATTGGAAGAAGGGTGATGTGCTGGCTCTCTTTGCGCCGAACGACATCGACATTCCGCCAGTGCTATGGGGTACGCATTGGGCCGGTGGTGTAGTTACACCCGCTAATCCGGCATATACAGCCGACGAGCTTGCCTTCCAGCTTAAGAAGACCCGCGCGCGTTTTTTGGTAACGCATATGTCTTGTCTTGATGTTGCTGTGAATGCAGCGGCGAAAGTTGGGCTTCCAGACGACTGCATTGTATTGCTGGGCACAGAGCGGCATCCGGCCTTGAAGTATAAGCACTTCTCCTCTGTGCGCAACTTGTCCGGCGCAACAAGGTATCGTAGGGCACGCATTGACCCAAAGAAGGACCTTGCGTTCCTGGTCTTCTCATCTGGAACAACCGGCGTGCCGAAGGGGGTTATTTTAAGCCACTATAACATAGTATCAAACATACTTCAGCTTAAAGCGGGTGAGGAAGGCAATCTCACCTGCAATGGTGGGCCGGATGGCAAGGGAGACCGCATGCTGGCTTTTCTCCCTTTCTTTCATGTTTATGGTAACGAACTGTCCCTTATCCGTGCAACGGCGATCTGCACTGACCTTGCTGACCTTCCCCAGGATTGACATGCTTGATTCATAGCTCGATGTACTCTGGTTACCATCTATACGTCATGCCTAAATTCGACATTGAACGATGGTGCGCCCATGTACAGAACTACCGCATCACCTTCTCATATGTCGTACCTCCGGTCATTCTACTACTGGCCAAACATCCAGCAGTCTCAAAATACGACCTTTCATCACTTCGAATGATGAACTCTGGCGCTGCACCACTCACATCTGAACTTTTAGAAGCCATGCACAGCCGTATCAAGATCGGAGCCAAGCAAGGGTATGGCCTCAGCGAATGCAGTCCGACAACCCATACCTTGTCTTGGAAGGACTGGCACCGAAAGGTTGGATCGGTCGGCAAGCTTCTACCAAACATGGAGGTGAAATATATGACCAACCCTGAAGACGGATCGGCACCTGTAGAGGTGCCAGCCGGACAGACGGGAGAAGTCTATCTCCGCGGACCCAATGTATTTTCAGGATACCTGGATAACCCCACGGCAACGGCTGGTTGTCTTTCTGCAGACGGCTGGTTCTGCACCGGTGACGTGGGCCATCAAGACGAAGAAGGGAACCTGTACATCACCGATCGTGTCAAAGAGTTGATCAAATACAAGGGTTTCCAGGTTGCGCCCGCAGAACTTGAAGGATATCTAGCCTCACACCCAGACGTGGACGATGCAGCCGTCATTGGTATCGAAAGCGAGCAGCACGGAAGCGAGGTGCCCCGTGCATACATCGTTCTTAAACCCGGTGTTCAGAAGGGGGACAAGACGGCAGAAAACATAGCTAACTGGCTAGCTGGCAAGGTGGCACCATACAAAAGACTTAGAGGAGGAGTCATATTCATCGATTCCATACCCAAGAGTCAAAGCGGGAAGATTCTCAGGCGTGTCCTGAAAGACATGATCAAGAAGGAAAACAGCAAGGGCCAAGGCTAAATT